ACAGTAAAAAACCACGGTAACAATAAAACTCCAAATTACCACCAGCCCGTAAAACCACGACAGCCCCACCGTTTCCCACCCCTTCACAACCGTCCAAATCCCCGACTTAACCGAATCCTCACCGCCCGTTAACTTCTCAAACTGATTCCCAGTCCATCCCGAAACCGCCACCAACATGCAAGTAACCCACCACCAACAGAACCTCCGCTCCGCCATTATGTCGGAGCCGACCCGAATCGCATCCCACCCGTATGTCTCCTCTAATGCGGACACCACCAGGCCCAAACCCAGCACCCCCATTAAGTAAACTTCGAAACCGGACCCGATTACCAAAATAGGTAGGCTCAAACGAGGGTGGCTTCGAAATGCGGCTGTGAAAACCTGCTGAAGATGGATGTAGAAGAGGAACAGGGCGTAGGAACAAATGGAGGTGACGACAACGCGCTTCCAAGCAAATTTGATGGCGCAGGCAGTGGAGAGAAAGGAAGGGCGGTGGGGAGGGGAGAGGGAGGTGACGTGGACGGTGGAGATAAAGGACAGGAGAGAGAGAATGGAGGAAGGAATGGAAAAGAGGAGTTTGAGACGGACGAGAGAAAGGGCCTCTTCACGGGATTCTTTCAAGACGTGACGCGCTTCGAAGAGCGTGGACGAATGGAGAGCGACGGATTCGAGTTGGTAGATGTAGCGTTTGAGAGGGCGGGAATAGAAAGAAAGGGCAAAGAGGAGGAGAGAAAGAGGGAGTGTCAAGAAAAAGAGGATCGGGAAGAGAATGTGTTTGTTTCGGAAGAAAATTTTAAAGGTATCGGAAAAGAGCTTAAGGAAGAAAAGAGATGGAGAAAAAGCAAAGGATTTTGTTGGCTTACGTTGATGTTGATCATGGTCATGTGTTTCCGACATTGTTTTTCTTGGTTGAATTCTTCAATGGTTGGGTAGATTGTGAACACTGTAACTGAAAGTAAGTGGACGAAGAAGCAAGAAATACAGGGTGCTTTACAGCTTTAGACCTTAGATATTGATTTTAAAGAGGAGATGTTTAGAAGCTGGGTTTTTCCGGGAATAACCTTTTGTGTGATATGTTTTGTTCTGGGTTATGAGGTTGAGTCACAGAGAATGTCTAGTAGATAACCTCTCATCAGATTGAGTATTAGAACTCAAAACAAAAGATCTAAAAGTTCATAACTTTAATATTTTCTTAATTTAGTTAGAAGACTCATATAGGATTTATAAATATAATGGGATTTTCTTTTTATTTAATTTATTTGTATTAAAATTTTGAAATAATCATGTTTTAATTAAGAATAAAACATTTATTTTATTTAAATTTATTGTTAACTATTTGAATTATATTAAACAACTAAAAGTAGAATTTCATTAAAATTTGAATTTGTAACATTATAAATAGGATTTTTGCTCTCAATTGGAATTTATGTTTCAGCATTTGACATTTGATTATGTGCTGAAAGATGATGATTGTTGGCAGCAGCCTATTAGTTTCGAAAAGGCCATTTGTTCTTGTTAATTAATATGAAAAAAGAAGCCTCAGCAGAGCTTTGCTAATCCCAAAAGCAAAATTGGAAGTCGTTTTAGGGGTGTGCATCGGGCAGGGAATAAAGGGCATCATCCACCATGAGTTATATCCAGATCTAAGGATGTGACGCGTGTTTTCGGTAAGCAATAATAAAGTTTCATAAAACAAAATCTTGCACATGCTCAACCATAAGGTTAGCTACCCTGGCTAACCGTACTACGCCTTTGACTACGGTATCAATCACCGTAATCGGTCTAACAGATTAATGCTGGCACTACATGTTGAAATATATAAACGTCCGACACTGACGCTGACACAAGGCTCAAAATGCCGGATATTTCATTCATGATTGAAACATTCTTTTTTAAGATTATTAATTTTAAACAAATATTAAAAGTTCTCACATTAAATTTTACATATTAAATAAATTAATATTTTTTTTAAAAAAATTCTTAAGAAATTTATTAACAAAATCTTATTTTAATTTTAATCTGAAAATTATAGAGCTAACTTGTCAGACAAGAGAGACAAAGAATCGTTGGCACGGTATAGATGAATAAAATACAGTGAGAAATGCTTGGTGAATTGTAAGCATTAGAAATTGATTATTGATTTATTAATGGAATCAAGTGTCATAGACTCAATAGTAGGCTTGTCCTCAAAACGGATAAAGTTCCTATACAAGTACAAAAAGATGAGCGAATATGTCCTTATCATCACTAACTAACATCTAACGGTCCGGCTCCAAAATGTTGTGACACACCAAGCAACGAAGCTGCCAAAACGGAAATTTCCTTGGAGCAAACATTGCACGGCCTATGAATTTGCCTTGCGCTAAAAGCCAAACCCTCAAACCACGAGTACAATCCACACTTCCAATGATCCTAACGTGAGCTTAACATTCCCAGGCTTGTCTTCCATGGAAGACTGCGCTGCCCATGGCTAATTGACTATCCTATTAGAATTGCACAGGCTTGTGCACTGCCCATGGCTATTACTAAATCAGTAAGGAGGCATAAGAAATCTGCACCAACATTATGGCCTACTCAGATATCAAACCAATTAACTTACCTTAATCATGCTTAAATTCACATTGGCCAAACTCAAATTGGACTTGCCAGAATATACAGATTCCTAGAAGACGACTACCCTTCGCTGAAATTATGGCTGGGTATCATGAATCTGACGTGGAAGGTTCTCACTTGTCAATTTTCGAGCACTTTTACAATGATGGAATTAAAGCATGGTGTGATGTTGGACCTGCTGTTGTGTACTAAGAATGGCACTGAAACGAAGAGACCAACGGTCCCAAGAACTCTCCACCATCTCCACATTAACAAGGTTTCCAAACCAGCGTCAGTTATCTACATTTGGTACATACAAAGGCACGCTTGTTAGATGCCAATCTTCACGAAATTGAACGAGGATTAGAGATGCCTGCTTGTGAGTCCTCGTGGGGGATCAGGTCAAAAAAATGGCCGCCGCCAATTGGATTAGAGGAGAGGATAAAAGAACGGGGCGGCTAGTTTGTAAGAGACTGGGCGGAGCAATGACATATTTTAGCTCATCATGCAATTGGGCCGCTTCCGGAGCCATAGTGGTTAAAACTCAATTTTGGAGAGCTTAGCGATGGGAATTCCTCTTTCTGTTTTGCCCATGAATGGTGAGCAACCAATCAATGCAGAGCAGGTACTACATGAGCTAATGATAGTGAGATGAGTGGATCATCAGGGTGGGTAAAATTTTCCATCCAACAAGGGGCAAGTTGCACTGGGGTTAAAGAGTTGATGGGAGGAGAGAATGGTGAGAGAAGTCCGCGAGAAAGATCCGGAGATGAGAAGAGAAGCAAGTTGAGCTGTGGAACAAGATAGTTCTTTTTGTAAGAGTGCGATTGAACTCATAAACAAACCATGCACCATTCAGAAATAAGTTACCAACTGTACTCACAATGTTCTGGTGTCAGCTTACATAGCTTATATTTGTTCTTTCGAACATAATTATGGTTTTACTTAATTTTCTTTTCCTTGTTTTCCAATTCATATCTATATTGAAACATTTGGCCAGAACATTCTCTTCTGGAACTTATATTATTCTTAGACAAGTGAAAACATCAATGACTAGAGGACGCAAAATCTAGTAATAGAAAATTAGGAAGTCACCATATCAATAACTTGAAGATGCAAATCTAGTAATAGAAATTAGGAAGTCACCATAGTCAAGACCTGACTTTCAGCATTTTATAAAGTAAACTCTGCTGACAGAATATTCCTAGTCCATAACCCAGCTATCAGGGAAAACTAGTATATAAAAGGGCTGTGGTGCTATGACATCCTACACAGGTATGTTATCAATATAAGCAGATAGGGATAAATATAGGAAAGTAATAATCAGCAAGTAAAGTGTCAGCATCCATTACCATCCAAAAGTATATTCCATGGAAGTTTTGCAGTTAACATGAGGAATTTGACAAAGATATTCATCCAATCCATACAATGAAGTAGCACATCAATAAAGTGGAGAGAAATGAAAATAAAAATAATTTTATAGCCATATCAGACCATTTTGAAAATAACATTTAACCTGCAGAACTCTCAAATTGATAGGAAAGACCTGAAAGCACGAATAGGATCTCCCAGCAGAGCAATCCCTCATAATTATGAGAGGAGAAAGGATAAGAATAAATGATGCACAATGTTTTTGAGCCCTCAATAACAGAAAAGACCATTAAATATGAGATATAGTTATAACCCACAAGTAGGGAGTCTCATCAACTTTTTATAATGTAATTTGGACCACCAGAGGCTGACATTAAGTCTGCTTTTATCTCCTTGAGGAATAAACTAAATGGAGATGGGGAAATCTCACTTACATTTTCTTATGGCATTACTTATGACCACCTAGTGTTATACGATATAACTTTGCAAACTGCATCATCCTCTAATATCAGGAGAGACAAAAACTAAATGTTGTAAGAATCCCTGCCCGCATTATCTTCCTTCTCATTTTTTATTATGTATACGGTAAGATTCTTTTTCCACACAATGGCCATTTAAATAAAATCCCACACCAGGATATGGTTGTAAGGGAAACATTAACATAAATAAAATATCTTCAAAATTAATAATCATAATTAAACAGAAGACTTACTGTTATAATCCTCATTCCAAACGAACATGTTTACCCCAAGATCTTTGACATGGTCTGAGTAAAGCAAAGGACAACAGATTGAATATATCAAGACGAATGACTTCAACGAGCAATGATAACAGTAATGAAACCTAAACAAGCCCAAAAGGGTGATGCTTATTTGATTTCCTTTAGTTTCCATCTATGAGATCAGGAAACCTTAAAACTTCATACCCAGCCCCAACCTCACTATAATCAACTGCAAATAAAGCAAAACCTAATACTCAAATAAGCTAACAAAAGCCTTCTACATCACAGTCAAAAACAAAAAATTGATAAAAGGCAATTGCATAATTGAAATTTTATATTTTCATGGGTGCAGAACAATTAACAAAACGATAAAAGCGTCAGCAAAATTGCAGTGATTTTAACAATGATTATTGAGAAACGAAACTGTACATTATGATAAATCCAAATTTTCCATAAACTACAAAAATCTTTTAAAAAAAACCAACCAAGAAAAAATTTACAAATCTAACAAACCCTGAAAATCTGTTGTCCTGCTATCAAAAACCCAAATGTTTTTATCCTCGTGATCCGAGCAAACCCTAGTTCTACAAATTGGACAAGCAGCAACTTTTGTTAACCAAGCATCCAAACACTTCCTATGAAACAAGTGGCCACACATAACAAGGTTCCTACACCACTGCCCTTCTTTGAACGCATCCAAGCATATAACACAAGAGTCAGATTCCAAATGGGTAGTTCTTGTTCCCTCGGAGAATTTGAATTGCGGAAGCCTTTTGAGCTGTTTCGCCGAAAACCCAGATGAGGGACGAGAGTGGCGGCGATGGCGTTGGTGCTGCTGACGGAGAAGAAGAGGAAGGAGGAGAAGGCAAGACGCTAGAGGGAGGAGGAGGAAGAAGAAGGAGATGAGAATCGTCATGATTATGGATTTCAGGATCAAAGATAGGAACTTGTCCTCGGGTTTTGACGGTGGGGGCAGAGAGCCACCGCGGGAGGAGTCGTGAGAAGGTGGCGTCATGGCGGAGTTCCTTTTTTTTTCAGATGGCGTTTATGGGTAGAACTTGGGGTAAATTTATTGGAGAGAGGGGAGAGTGGTTTTAGATATTTACAATAATGACACGGTCAAAGGTTTTCTTCGTGCTCGCGGTATTTACCAGTTTTCGTCTTTCCTTTCTATGGGCTTTGGTTGCTAGTGTTGAAGAGTGGGCCCCTTCATAGGATAAGCCGGTTTCGGTGGTAGGATATATAGTTTTTATATGGGAATTTTTTTATCTACTCAAATAATTTTGTTTTAAATATAAATAAATTTCTATACTCAAATGATTATATTATACCTCCCAATGTCAAATTCATTACAGATTAACCACGTCCATTTGATTTAGAAGACCAACAAATAAAAACACAATTATTTGCTCTTTCAACTAATTTCTTCCGTACATTGAATCATAAAATAAAGGTTTTTCCCCTCTTACTATATTTTTCCAAATTTATTATTTATTCGGTACATGTAATTTTGGTCCAAAATAATAAAAAAAGGCATTTTCTTAATTTTTTAAGTTTATGAATTTATAATCGAAATTTTTAAATTAAAATAATTTCAAATTCTAAGTATAGAGGATGTTTTCGGAATAATCCATCTTACGAAGCGCCAATTTGGAGCTCCAACAGCCAGATTTGTTGTCGGAAGCATTGTGGTTTTCCATTGCGTTGGCCAAATATATATCTTTTGGTCAAGTAACAAAATAAAAATAAAGATAAAATAAAATAATCATATTAAATCCTTAATTAAAAATTATTAATATTTTTAATAAATTATAATTAAATTTAATATTTCAAATGAAAAGTATAAATTATAATAAAATGTGTTCTTATGTTTTTGTTGCATATTCTTTTGTTATTTTAAAATTATTTTTGTCAACTAAATATTGGAATAATGTCAAAATAACAATTTCATTTCATAAATCAAATTACACAATAATTATTTTTATGAAACAATTATTTCATTACGTGAACCAAATGTATCCTAAACATCATCTATTAAGCAGCTATTCGCTAACCTACAAATTATTAGTAAAAGGTCTATGTTACCTATATGTTTTATCTGCCCTTCAAAAATAAAAAACTATATGTCTTATCTCATTTTGCATAGCATTCTCCATTTATGTCAAGTCTATCTACTTTTGGAATTACAACAGTACATACATATATTTGGAATGAGAAATAGTCATATTTGATTTAGTAAGCCAAAATTAATTAATTGATCATATTATCACACAATTTTTTTTTTAAAAAATAGTATTATGGAATAGCCAACTGCATGCATTTCGACGTTTAGTTCATGTATGTTTATTAAAAAAGTTAGATTTAAATCTTTTTTCAATAAAAAAAATAGCTGCTTAATTTGGCATATTAAGTCAATGTTGATGGGAATTGCTATGGAAACTCGAACGATCATGGGCGGCGTAGCTAACTTCGAGACTGTTGAGGGTAATGGTTAGGGGCTTTTGTCTACGGTGTTGGTTGGTTTAATATACCTGCGATGGAGCTTTTGGCGATTTGTGCCGGGACAAAGCATAATGATCTGTTTTTGGAATCTGATTTGGCTGGCTGTAGCAATGTTAGAGATTCAGAGATCCCCTTTAGTCCTTGAGCATCATAGCCCACTCATCCAAGCTTAAAAGATTGGATACATAACTAGTAGATTATTTTGTCAAAATCTGTGGTCACCATCCTCCAAATCATGGAGATAAAAGCTCTTATGTGATTTTGCCACATTTTGGTCCAATTTTCTATATTCATTGGATCCTAAAAAGTGATCCGCATCCTATTCAATATCACTACTTTTGGTAACTAATTAAATTATTGTTTTACAAGATTTTCTCTTAAAGACATTTGATATTTTAGAGTTTATAATTGGCAAGATGTTGAATAGATTAGGGAATACTTGTCACTAAGATGGATACAAGGAAATTATGGTAAGAAATAGATTCAAAAATTGGTTAAAAATCCATTTCATAACAAACTTTCCTACAATAATTAGCAAAGTCATAGGCAACCAGACTTATATGTTGGACCAGGCCCTGCAGGTTACTTTTGCAACACAAGCAAAGCTAAAAATCAGAAACAAAGGCACTATTTTTCAATTCAAAGCAAACTTCAAAAGAGAGCCAATGGAGAAGACTACTCTAATCATTTTTGTTGGTATCATAGCCTGCCTTGTCTCCACTACTTCAGCAACAGCAGGGATTGCCACCTTTTATACAAGTTATATTCGTAAGTATTGTTTTCTTTGATTTCTCGCACTAAGTGGATCGAATTTCTAATTTATTTATTTCCTTAATACCTTCTTCTGTTGTGCAATTTTTTACAACCTCGTAAGAGTGTTGATAGACAGAGGATTCAAGTTTCTAACTATGACTTAATTATACTTATACTTTGATTTGAGACAATAACTATTGTGTTATCATTGTTGGCAGCTTCTGCATGCTTTGGAAATCAAGACAATGGTAACATGATCGCAGCAGCCGGAGATGCACTGTGGAATAATGGGGCAGTGTGTGGAAAAACATTCACTGTAACGTGCACAGGAGCCCGAAATGCAGTACCACATCCATGCACAGGCAAGAGTGTAACCGTAAAGATTGTGGATCACTGTCCAGGATGCCCCTCAACCCTTGACCTCTCCAAAGAAGCCTTCACTCTGATTGCTGACCCCGTTGCTGGTATCATTAACATTGACTACAAGCAGTAAGCCTAACACATTTCTTGATGGCCTAAATTTATATCATCTCCATTTTCTACTAATATTTTTGTTAATAACATGATTTTGTCTTGTGTTTTGTAGGCTTTGAAAAAAATTTGGCACATAATGCAAACTCAAGAAGTTTAGAGATAAATGTTTACTGTAATAAAATTTTTCTGATTGTAATAAATTTCCATAGTTGTAACAACACTGAAATGGAAAAATGAAAGCTTATTTTTGAACTTGATATCCCATAATTTGAGAAATTTTAATTATATTCACTATGATTACAATTCTTTTGCAAGTGGATAAATGAAAAGGAAACAAAAGTACCTATTATATGTTGTCAATTTTGTACACGCAAGTATACGTATCAAACAATTAATATAATGATGAACTAGAGTATCATTTCCACGGAGATTTGTTCTTCAATTTTTACTAAGTACTAAAATCTTATAACAAATCAATCTTAGTTAAGTAATCGAAATTTACAGAAAATTAATTAAAATAAACACTAAATTAACTAACAAACTAAATAAGTTGAGAAAAGCAGTATACTAAAGACTTAGGATTATGGGTTCATTTAACATCTCATCTGATACTAGCTTTTTTTGTTAATTATCTTTCCTGGGTGGTTTTGCTAACTTAAAATCTAAAGCTATGGACAAGTCTTCGTCGAGTTGCTTGTATAAATATTTAACTTAATTAGTTCACTATATGTCTATAGGAATCAATTAAATTAAGTTCATTAAGTAAGTATCCTAATGTGGCTATATATGGCAATTAACGTATGTGTACTTGAATCACAAATCAGATCACCTAAGTGACTTGAACATACACTTTTCAATCTTTACTCCATTCTAAAATCTCTTTGTCGAGTCTTAATTAGATTCACAAATCAATTAATTGTTGGCCAAGCAATCAAAAGCATTAAGAACAGATTTGAATAAGCAAAACTAAATCCATTCATGATAAAAAAAAAAGAAACTAATATTCAAATTATATGTTGAAGTCCACCACAATCCTAGAAAGATAATTTAGCTCATAACAACTAACAAAAATAACATCCAAAGAAATTTAGCCATGATTCCAATTCAAATAAAATAAAAAAAAAACACAAAAGTAGAGAAAGAAACAAAGTGTTGAAGCTTTGCAATCTCAATTCTCTCTCAAATTCTCTTGTTTTCTTGCTTTGTTCTTAGATCTAAATCTCCAGAATAGTTGGTTGCTGCTTCCTCTTTTAAACATTTGAAAAAAGTCTTTAAAATATGCTCCAAATAACCTAATTTACAAAATCCCATCAATTTTTTTTTGAAAAATCATCCATGCTGTGGCGTTACTTCTTCAGCTCTATAACACTGAGCTATCAGGAAAATGTGGTGTGCTTCCTTTCACTAGTGTTGTTGCGTCTATCAACTTAAAACATGATTTTTGCCCTGATCTGTTTCCAATTGCACAAAATGAAAAAGATAAAAGTTTTATCCCTGTCTCTTAGCTTTCCAATGGCTCAAGAATCACATCAATTGAACTTTAAGATTGAAAGATAAGCTCTAAATACTGCATCATGTTCAATTCATGCATATTGTTGCAGTGCTCCGATTTAGAAAAATATTGTGACCATGATCCAATTCAAATTGGAAAAAGTGGTCTACATAAAAGTTGTATCTCTTCCTCTTAAAGTCTAGTGGTCTAAGAATCACTTCATTTAGAGTTCTGTAGACAGAGATATGGTTAAAATACCATAACATATACGAATGAAGCCATCACTATACTTACATGGATTTTCATCAAATGAGCCTTTTTCATCAAATTTCCTACAAAAGTAATAAGAGAAATTACCAATACTACTTTTAAAGTAATTTAAAATAAAATAACATAAAATTTAACTAAAATAACTTAAATTAACTACTCAACATGTAATCAAACTTAAACTAGAAAAACACATAAAATGCTACGATTTGAACCTACAATCTCAAAGATCTAACTACTTAATCCCCCAAAATGTGTCAAAATAATTCTATATAATAGAGTTATCACACCCCAAGTTTAAGATTTTGCTAGCCCTCAAGAAAAACATAAAACAACATGTAATAACTTAATCATGAAAACATTTAACTAAAATTCAATCGCACTATTTCATTAATCACCTTTATTATCCTTAAAAGTTAATCCATATTCATATTCATAACTCAAACAACATTCACATGTTTCGAAGAATCAAGATAGGAATATAACTAAGTTCTCATCATTGGATAAGTAAATTAAACAAAACTAGCACAATTAAATCTAGTTCCAATGCAAATGTACATGCATAAAAAAAATTTAACGAAAATAAACTAACCTAAACTATCATTAACACTAATAACAATAAACCCCCCCTAAACTTAAATTGCACATTGTTCTCAATGTGAAAAGCTAAAAAGAATAAGAAAAAGAAACTCCCCTATCAATAGTGATAGTGCATTGAAAGCTCTAATTTTCATCCACTTTATCTTCATGCTTTCCAAACCTGTAAACTTAACAAACAAGCTAGAGAGAGGTTAAAACCACATATTTAGATAGAAAAACAAAACTTACAAAAAAAACTACTAAACTTAAAAGGATATAGCTTGGATTGTCTCCCATGAAGTGCTCTTTTATAGTCACTAGCTTGACAATGATACCCCCTTTGTTGCTTTTTCATCACCATAAAAATGCTTGAGGCTTTGTTTCATTACCTTAAATGCTTCAGTAAGTGTACTAAAAATTTCAACATAGCTGTAGGATAAAAGTTTTACAACCTTAAAGGTTTTCCACCAATATGGTTGAAGTTGCCACGGTAAGAAGTGGAGGCATGCACTAAAGAGT